ATATCTTTTTTGAGCCCTTTTTTTCTGAGGAATGTTTCACAATAACCTACAATATTTGTTATTGCCCTCTGAAAGGTCCAATTATAGCCTCAGGATGAATTTGGACAAGCCAGGCCATATGTTCAGCTTTATTAATATATCTGTCCTGAAGAGTAAAATTTCATAACTATGACCCCATGAAGGAAAATTGCTTCCCACCATTTCTTTCTTCATAACTTGGACAAAATAGGAACTGGATGTGCTTTTTGTTTTTAGCCTTTCCATATTTTTTTATTTTCCAGTAGAACTTAAAACTCAAAGGGTGAATGAACTCTTGTATAATCTGGTTATAGATAATCTTGTTTACTGAACATTCTGAAGGAATATTATGTAATGATATTTTTCCTTCCATTCCAATCTAAAAATATGTATTATTAGATCCACTCTGAAACTGAAATCCAGCTACATACTTATTCAATTTTCTCCCACTTAAAAAAAGTACTTGATTCATCCATAGACCTAGAATTGCTTCATGTAATAAAAGAAAGCATTCAGGAGGATATTCAATGTTTCATCTTCCTGCTATAAAACCAACAGAACAACAAAGACAATACACAAATTGAAACCACGGAATAAAAACCTTTCACATAAAACTAACAGAAAAATTTTATATCAGACTGTAGTTTTATAGAATAAAGAAAATAGCTACCTGTCTTCTGGCAAGACAAATCAAGATCAAACACATTAGGAAGATACAGACAGATCTTGGAGGGCCAAAGAATGGAAGAAAATGTCTTGGATACTTCATCACAGACTAGCCCAAATCCATACTTCTCCTCAACAAGAAGTGTTAAATTTTTGTTGTTTTTGTTTTTATTCATTTGTTTTGTTTTTCCTTCTTTTCCAAATTATTTGTATGTCTCAATAGTTTCTCTTACACTCTTATTTCCTCTAACTTTATCTCTTAGTATCTTCCTATTTTTTCTTCCCATCCTCAAACTCATTCCTTGGAGTACTTTATTTTTAATACTTATGCACTTCACCATCATTAAGTTACAGTTTATCCCTAAAGAGTCCAAGTTCTGTTCTTCCACAGACTTATTGGGAAGGTAGTTGAGGTTTCTTACTATATTTAACTACCCGGTTTGTCACTATATTGTTGATCTTGTTATATACTGTTTTGGGTTTTTTCTCATCTGAGAGAAAGTAAAAAGAGAAAATCCAACAGATACAGAAATAGCAATGTAGAAATAGAAGCAATTTGGACACACAAGGAGAAATCACCTCTTCAAAATCTTGTAACTACTCAATAACTGAAATCAAAATACTGACTTGGCTGGAAATATCAGCTAAAAAATGTTAAAAACCCTATTTTTAAACATGATAATGAACCTCAAAGAGAGTTCAAACAGATAAGTGAAGTAAAGAAATCAACTCAAGATCTAGACATAGATAAGAAATTCATGAAGAAAAGTGAAATTGTGGGGGGACAAAATCAGAAATGTTGGAAGTGAAACCCTCAGTAAATCAATCAGAAGAAAAACTTCCAAGAATGGAGGAAAAGACTGAAGAAAAATTAAATTTAGACAATAACAAAGAAAAAATAAATAACTATGATTTTAGACTTCAGTAATTCTGAACCATCGCTATTGCACACCTATCCAAATGATTACAACTCAGGCTAAAATAAGCTCAGAATACAATATAGGCACTTGAACACTCGCGTCCACTGTTGCACTATTAACTATAGATATATCTCCAAGTAGTGGAAATAGCCCATATGCCCTACATTGGATGAGTAGATCAAGAATATTATATAAATATATGTATATATGTAAACACTCATATATACACACATAAATCAGGAAGAACAATATATAGAGAGATATACAGATATATAGATATAAAGATATATATCTACATCTATTTCTCTATATATGTGTATATATATAGATATGCATATATATATATATATATATATATATATATATCTCCTCAGAGAGACAATCTTGTTCAATATAATTCTGGAACTCCTAGCCAGAACAATAATACAAGAGAAAGAAATTAGAGGAATGCAATTAGGGGAAAAGAAGTAAAAATTATTCGTATTTACAGATTATATAATCCTATACCTGAAAGACCCTTAAAACTCTACTGAAAACTTCTGAGATCTCAAAAACACTTCCACTAAAGTAACAGGATACAAAAGTCAATATAGAAAAATTAGTTACATTTCTATGTCTTAACAATAGAGAGATATAAGAAGATATCATGAAAAGAATTCCATTTTCTATAGCCTTACCAAAAACAAAAACAAAAAACTTAAGAATAACTTATGTTCAAAGGTGAAAACTTGTCAATGAAAATCATAAAATATTGAAAAAAATCAAAGAAAACACTGGAATATGAAAAGACCTCTCATGCTCATGGACCAAAAAAAAATATTATGAAAATAGCTATCTTGTCAAAACCAATGTATATGTTAAATGCAATCTCCATCCAATTTTCTAATGACATTCTCGACAGAATTATTTGAAAACACAAGGACCCCAAATCAACACAGCAATCCTGGAAAAAATGAGTAATACTTGAAATAATTACAATTTCACAGTAACAAAAACAGTATGTTTTTGGCACAAAAACAGACAGGTAGACTAATGAAAGAAGAAGACTCAGAAATAAGCCCATATAAAGTCAGCCAGTTTTCAACAAAAATATAAAAAAACACAATAGAGAAAAGAAAATCTCTTCAATAATTTTTATTGGGAAAACTGGATATTTTTTACAGAAGACTGAAACAAAATCCCTGTCATACCCTGTACTGAAATCAGTCTTACTTTAATGTAAGACCTGAAATCTTTGCAAATATTACCCAGAAAAACACATAGGAAAGTTATAGATATAAACAACAATTTCCTGAATAGGATTCTAGTTCAGCAAATAAGAGCCAGTATATCAAACTAAAAAGTTTCTTCACAAAAAGGAAAAAGAAAGGAACAGCAACTAGAAAGAAGAGGCGGTTTACAGAATAGGAGACAATCTGTGCTTGACTATTCATCTCACAAAGAAAAAAATAACCAGACTATATAAAAATCTCAAAAAACCAAACTCCAAAAGAACAACATAATAAACAGGCAAATGAACAGACAATTGTCAAAAAGGAAGTACAAAAGTACCAGTAGGGCTGGGAAGGTGGCTCAGAGGTAGAGTACTTGTCTTTCCTTGCACGTATGAGGCCCTGGGTTAGATTCCTCAGCACCACATAAGCAGAAAAAGCCGGAAGTAGTGCTGTGGCTCAAATGGTAGAACACTACCTTTGAGCTGAAGAACTCAGGGACAGCACCCAGGCCCAGAGCTCAGACCTCACAACCGACCAAAAAAAAAAAAAAAACACAAAAAGGTACCAGTAAATATGTAAAAATTGTTCGCATCCTTGGTCATAAAGGAAATGTAAATTTAAACACTAAGATTTCATCATATCAGTCAGAATACACATGACCAACAAGGGGGAAAAAAAGGCTGGGAAGGATGTGGGGGGAAAAAAGAATTCATATATTTTAGTGCAACCACTCTGGAAAACAGTTTAGAAGTGTTGCAAAAATTAAAAATTGGTGCTGGGTGTTGGTCACTCGTGCCTGTAGTAGCTACTCAAAAGCCTTAGATCTGAGGATCATGGTTGGGAGCCCAGGCAGGAAAGTCCATGAGACTCATATCCAATTAACCACCAGAAAACTGCAAGTGGAGTTGTGGTTCACAGTGCTAAAACACTAGCCTTGAGCAAAATTACTGAAGGACAGCACCCAGGCCCCACGTTCAAGCCCCATAACCAACCAAAAAAAAAAAAATTAAAATTGGACTACCACTCTTTGGAATATAGCCAAAGTAATGTAAGTCAGGGCACAATAGTTACTTGCACACCAAAGTTCTAGTAGTATTATTCATAATCATCAAGTTATAGAATCATAGAATTAGTTTAAATGCCTTTTAGTTGATGAATGGATAAAGACAATACAGTATATGTACATAATGGGGTATAATTTGGCCATAAGGAAGAATGGGATTATGCCATTTGCAAGACAATAGAAGGAACTGGAGGTCATCATGTCAAGCAAAATAAGTCAGGTTCAGAAACGCAAAGGTCACATGTTTTCTTCGATATGTGGAAGCTAGATAATATATATGTATATATATATATGTGTGTGTATATAGATATGTATATATAGTCTCTACATATGTATATATACATATGTGGATATACAGACTATATGTGTGCACATATAAACACATATAGAGACCATATATATGATATATATATAATACATGATTATAATTATAAGACTGCTTGAACTGGGCTCTGGTGGCTCACACCTGTAATCCTAGCTACTCACAGTTCAAAGCCAGCCTGGGCAGGAAAGTCCATGACACTCTTATCTCCAATAAACCACCAGAAAACCAGACGTGGTGCTGTGGCTCAAGTGGTAGGGCACTAGCTTTGAGCTGAAGAGTTGAGGGACAGCACCCAGCCCCAGAGTTCAAGCCCCACGACTGACAAAAAAAAAAAAGACTGGTTGAGGAGTCAAGGAGGAAGGGGTAAAGGAAAAAGAGAATAATGGTGTGTAAAAAATATCAAAATGTATTGTATTTGTGTGAGGATGACATAAAGAAACCTACTGAAATCAGTTGAACAAGAAGAGAGATGAGGGACAGGAAGAGTAATAGAGGGGTTAAATCTGAATGATATACCACAGTAAAACTTCTTTATGCAGTAATTTTCTAATATGTAACTTAGTTTAACCAAAACACAAATATTTTTGTAACAAGTCATTCACAGGAAAAGTTAGAAAAACTCATGCCTTTCATTTAGAGCTGTGCAATTTATATCTTGTGTTCATCAGACTTTATAGTTTTAAATGTGGTAGGTATAAAATGATAAAGTAAATTACAGTAAGTAAAACCTTTATGGGAGGACAAGAAGTTGGATTCAGTGTAAGCACAGTGAGGATAACTCAGCAAATACTTACTGGTTTAGCAGAACATCGAGAATGAATGAGGTTCCAAAGGCATCAACCTGGAAGCTTGCCCGATCAACATGAGTCAACTGCAACATCAAAAATGAAAAGGCTTTTCACTGCTCAGCCATAGCAATCAGATGATTAATATTTCTTATAATTATTTGAAAAGGCTTACAGTAGCACAAATGGGAAAGCCAACTTGATATGGACAATAACAGAAAGGAAATTAAAGCAAACTCTGTGTTTTTTTAAACATTCCATTTCCAAGATTTTACTTCATTAACTTTATTTTATATTAAATGAATATAGAAAAATAAACTTTATTCAAAATTGAAAATATGCTCAAGTGAAATAATATGGTGAACTTGATCTATTTATAAAGAAGATGAGTAAAACTCTAAAATAATTTTTCCATCCTATCTCAAATACATACTTACAAACATTTCAGTTCTAATTTGTAGACACATAGATGTGTCTACAACTTTCCAAGTTCATATTTGAACCTCTGTATATCTATTATGAATGCTACCAAAATTTTCTTGGATAAAAATAATTGCAGTTTCTCATGCCATCATATAAAGCCCCATAGAAAAACACAAGGGACTCTAAAAAAGATACAATTTTAAAATTGAAATTATCATTGATATATCAACTGATCATATAAACTAACTGAAAAGCAGGCAATGAAACTGTCTGCTCCATTTCTCTCTCACAATACTAACAGTAGGACTGTGAACTACTGGAATGGCTATGTGTTTCTGTCATAACAAATTTCTAAAACAAACATTAGACCAGTGCTGCTGCTCCCTGTGAACTAGAATATTCCAGGAAAGGACATACAGGATTTCTGTGACGCATAAAGGGCACCTCAACTGTCCCTGGGATTTCACATGCAGGAAAGGATGGCATTAGGTAAAGAGAAAAGCTTAATTTACAATACTAAAACTTCTAGGCAAGAAAGGACTGTTCTTTTAAAGTCTTGGACGGTGGGCGCCAGTGATTCACTTCTGTAATTCTAGCTACTCAGGAGGCTTAGATCTAAGGATCACACTTCACAGCAGCCTGGGCAGGAAAGTTCATGAGATTCTTGTCTCCAATTAACTACCAAAAAGCCAGAACTATGGGGGGGCAGGGGGAGGATGGGAAGGGATGGGAAGAGGAAACAAAGGAGGAGACTACAATGCTTGATAAGAAATGTACTCATTATCTTGCCCATGTAATTTTAACACTTCTGTACAGTATTTTCACAATTAAAAAAAAAAAGCCAGAACTGGAGCTGTGGCTCAAGTGGTAGTGTTAACCTTGAGCAAAAAAGCTTAGGAACAGTGCCCAGGCCCTGAATTCAAGCCCCAACCAGGATTTTAAGTATGCCTTTAAGTATGTTGTGCCTGTAAATTGTGGTCTTCTCACCATGTCCTCACATGGCCTTACCCCTGGTCACTTCTTACTTCTATAAAGACTTCAATCCTATTGGAATAAGAATCCCATTCTCACAGATTCCTTTCATCTTAATCCCATCTTTAAAGATCTTATTTCCAATACAATCACATTGGGAGTCATAGCTTCAACACACAAATTTTCAGGGGACATAAATAAACGCATGACACTTCTCTTCCTTGAAGTCATCCTATGCTTTTCCAGCCTCTTCTTACTACAGGTCAAGATCCTACTAGGGATTTAGTACTGATCAGCATCAGATATTCAGTCAGTATTTCCTGACTGGTTCATTGGAGGGTTGTTATATCAACCACCTGGATGCACAGATGAATCATGAAACAGCTATAAATCACCTGCTTATTGAAATGCAGTCTTTCCTTCAGGCTTGCTGTTAGTGCAGTATCAATAGATAATGCTCTTTCTGTCTAAAAGCTCTTTGGGCCTCCCAACTTGCTAAAGCTCTCTTTTGAAACAGCCAAGGAAAAGCTCTACTTACCAGAATTGATGTCTCAGTTAAAATGAACCTCTCCTGACTCTATTCTTCCTAAGCACATAAGACTATTACAGCTTTTATCGCAGTCTCTTCTGACATAGAAAAATTAGCATTGTAAATCTGTGATAACTGGGGCAGAGACCATATGATGTTTGCCTTGGCATCATATAATTACAATTTGGATCAGGGTAATACTAACATTCTTTTTCTGGCAGGGTGTTTACTATTTACATTAATTCTAATTATTTTTTATTTTTTAATTATTGTGATTATTATACATACTTATGGGGCATAATGACATATTTCAAAACATTTATAAAAATGTGTGCAGATCAAATCAAGATAATTAACATGTCCATTTTCTTACCATTTCATAATGCTTTAGAGCCCTTGAGTTCCTGTCTTTCTAGTTCTGCTTAAAATCTATTACAGGTTGTTATGAGCTAAACTTATCCCTCCTATTTAACTATATTTTGACACCAATATACAATCTTCTTCTAGCCAGCTCTTTTTCCCATCCCAAGCCTCCAGTAATTATTAGTCTGTTCTCCTCAACCTTAAGATCAATGTTTTTGTAGCTTCCACATATGAGAAATACAGAATATTTGTCTGCCTCTCTCAGGCTATTTCACTTAATGCAATGTTCTCCAGTTTCAGCCATCTTACCACAAGCGAATTTAGTCTAATTGTTATATTTTCTATTTCCTGAAGCTCCACTTTACATCTGGGTCTTGTTTTATAAAACAATCATTTTTCAAAGAGTGACCCATACGCTTAAAAAGAAAATATGTTGACAGCTTGTAGTAAAACAAAAGAAGCTTGCATTATTAATAGCTATAGGTACAAGTGTATATTAATATAATCTTAATGTAAGGCAGGCTTCCCGCGACTGTATACCAATTGGCTCATTCAGCAAACTTTTAAGAGTCTATCAAGTTCTGGGAAATACTAGGGTATTAGTGACAAGGTGATGAAAGGACTGTTTCTAGTCTAGTAGAACTAACAGAGGGAGGCAGAAAGCGAATGATTAGATGCTTAAAAAAACTTAAAAAACAAATACACAGATCTCAGATTTAATAAAAACAGAGTTCTGCTGTCGAGAATAACCAAGTACCAAGAGTAATAATGAGGGTCTCTGGGTCCTAGAAGATCTCTTCAAGGAAGTGATATCTAGGGCACAATATTAATTTCTAGAAAAGGTCTGTGTTTGGCAGAACAATGGCTCTACAAGATGCTCTACAAGATACACACTGTCCCCACAATATATGAACATGTCGCCTTATATATAAGTAAGAATTTTTAAATGGAAAAATTTTCCACACTCAAATTTTATCAAACCCTGGCACCAATCAATCAACCTTGCAGTAACAATTACTAAAATAAATATAATCAAGATTTCATTTTAGACTGTGCCATCTTCTAATATTAAGTACTACCTCCATGTGGCCAGTTTTTAAATAGGTCAAAGAGAAGAAACATGGTGCTTCTTTTGATTATCTTGGAGAAATAATAAATTCAATACAATTATACTGAATTCTTACTACATTAATAGTTCAGCTTATTACACAATGCTATTAATGAGAGTCAAGGTGGTTCTTAGGAAGTTAACATTCAACCTTTTAAAGGAAAAAGAGAGTTGAAATGGAAAGAAAATGTTTGAGAAAAAAGAATTAGAGTTACATATATATTATAAAATGAACTTTATGCAGTAATAATTTGTGTGGGGGGGGAGGTTTTTTATCCTTCTTTGCAGGGTGTTAGGAATTGAACCCAGAACCTGGCAAATGCTATGCAAACACTCCATCACTAAGTCATCTCCTCAACCCAATTTTTAATCTTTACAACTACTAAATAGCTGAGCATCACAAAATACTGAGAAAATTCTCTTGAGCTCATATGATATTGCATCTTTATTGATTTAAAAAAAAAACTGAGGTGTGGATAAAAGTCATCTCCCAGGTCACAAAGTGGGTTTCAATGTAGGCATTTTGCCTCACAGCAAGACTTTACATTTTATTTCCACTCTTCACTCTCATTCTGTGGCTTGATGTGCTTGCAGGGTTTACTCAGTCCAGTAAGTAATTATAATAAAAGGAACATCTTTAGAACCATAAGAATGTGCTAAACTACATTTCCTTTTTCTTTTTTCTTGTCGGTCATGGGGCCTGGGTGCTGTCCCTGAGCTCTTCAGCTCAAGGCAAGTGCTCTACCACTTGAGCCACAGTGCCACTTCCAGTTTTCTGGTAGGTAACTGGAGATAAGAGTCTTAGGGACTTTGCTGCCTGGGCTGGCTTTGAAGCATGATTCTCAGATCTCAGCTTCCTGAGTAGCTAGGATTACAGGCATGAGCCACTGGTGCCCGGCTTTCTAAACTGCATTTTTTAAAGATATGAAAAGGAACATCAAAACATGAGAAACAATCATTAGAACTCTATTTTCATGAGAAAAGTCAATGCTACCACATCTCACACACACACACATGCACACACATACACAAACACACACACAAAACCTGTTATAACACCAATTTAATTACAATCTTACAAAGTAAAATTATAGTTAAAAATATAAATGGAAATCATTTTTTAAGAAAAAAATGACAAAGCTGTGGTAAAGTATGGCTCACATTTATAGAAGCTGTGAAACAAAAGACTCAAGGGGGAAAAACTGCAAAAAATGTAAAATAAAATAAAATAGCTATCCAGATGGCAAAAGCTTCTAATAAATCAATATAATTACATAAAGTTAATTTTAATTTCTAATTTCAAAAATGAATCATAGAATCTTAGGACCAAAAGAACCTGATACAATCCCCAGATTGAGACTTGTTTATTATTCATGGCAATAGCTGAAATTTAAATGTGAAGTTAGTAAAACCATGTTCCTCATACATTTAGCTCCCTGGCAACGAGCCCTTTTTTCCTATCTCTCAGAGCCAGTGATCCAGGGCCACCTACCTATTCCAGAAAGAAAACATGACTGAACTTTTTAAGATTGCTTCATTGAAAAGTTGTTTTCTTTTTTGCAAGGAAAAAAAAGTAATACCAAAGCATTCATAGTCCAATCAGAATTTTGACCAAGGAGAAATGGTAGGTTGAGTTCACAATTAAATCCAACCTAAAGTGAAAATATTACCAATCAAATGATATTACACAA